CGCTTGGGAGTATACACCGACTAGATGAATTGCGATCACATCGTGGTTGACACGGGGACAGGAGAATACCTAATTACCTATATATATACCGAAAAAATGATTTTAGGAGTGTTAAGCAAGCTACCCTGGCTCATAACCAGAGTGGACTGCCATCGTGAAGACGGAATAGTCAACTTGGTTTCGCCAAGTTCATTCACATTTATTCGCAGCGTGCCTATGTAGGTAGTAATCATGTAATAATGGAATTACTACCCAAAATTGGATTGATTGCCAAGAATCAAGGTACCTGAACCGATTATAGGAAGCATATTACTCCGCATGAGTGTAAACGAACGATGTGTTGAACATCGTAGCGTAGAGGTGTAGAAGCTCAAAATTGGTGGACGTCGGTTGGCGGATAATTAGGAATAAAATGAGGAGCTAAAGGTTGGTGCTAGAAGGACTAGGTACCTAGGTAAGGAATCCATGCACTAGCATTTCCCCGCATAATTAGCATCAATCCACTGTAGTTAGCGTGATATAGGCTGCGGAGGTTTCCTTGCGGCGAACCTTACACTTGGAAGTGCACTAGGTAACTCGTCCCTGCTTGTGGAATAAATTAGCGGCAAGCGTCCCGTACGACCGGAATTAGAGACTCGACACCGTTCTGAACACTCACATTTAGCCAGAATCTTATTATCAGCCATGGACCTGTGGGAGTGTATTATGTCATCGGGCGTTAAAGGAGGTAAATTCTCGCTGCTTTATTAGCTTGAGCTTTTTCACTTAGGAAATACAACATAATTTATCCCCTGACAAGCCCAATCTGATGTCGAAGTCCAAGGCACATTACCAACATTTTAAAATTTGACCTTGTATTTAGAGCCGACTATAGCATTCCATTATGATGAAATTTTCGAATACCTAGGTACTCTAGTTCGGTAGAGTTCTTGTGAGTTTTCCAAAGCTTACGGATCTCGAACGAACCTCAAATCAACTGTGTCAATCACTATCCCTATCTGCCTCACTAAGATACACACATAGCGATGCACAGGAGACAGTAGTCATCGAACCCAATCCTACTCTTGTCAGTTGGTCGTTTAGAAAACATATCCCAGACTGCAGATCTGCTATTTTTCGACCTTGACCATTCCCCATTGACCGACGCTGAAGCGGAATGTTGGATGCTAACTCCTATCCTTTGATAACTTCAATTTTTTGATAAAAGTCCGGAGCAGAAGACATCGCCCCTCCGGCGAGGTGACGTTTCATAGCTGCTCTATGAGAAGACGCTCTTTTAATTTTGAGAACTTCACCAGCCATAATGGGCTCGTTCTGTATCCCATGGAATGCGTTTCCGGATTTCCATGTACGCAGCAACTTAATTTCGTTCTCGATGCTGGGAAGTATTCGCTGTGGATAAAAGCGCTTCGAGAATCTTTCAATGACAGCATTGATCCAATGACGATGGCCTAGATGAATAGGTTCACTCAGCATATCCAAAAGAGAAAAGTAAGACAAGAAATTCAAAATAGGAAATGCAATATAATACTGACCACGATGGTTGTTGAGCCGATAACGTGCGAGGCCAGAAAACTCCAAGTAGTTGAGCCAGTTTTTAACATCCAATTCGACGTTAACATGGCCCCAGTAACTAGAGGCATAGCCTTGTAGCAATTCAAATCCATCGAATATATCATCTTCAAGATGTGCGGGTGGACCAGGTCGGCAAATGATGATGGTGTTGCCAAGTACGTCAGCCTGCTTGAGCTCGATCGTTACAGTTCGAAGGTAAGAGAGTTCAAGAATGATTATCCACTGGTGGCGGTTCTCGGTGTATTCTTCCGAAGGCGGTTCGCTGGCCTTCTCACGAGCGGCGAGCCAGCAGCTAAGAACCTCATCGGCGAGGAGCGACGGCCAGTCTGCAGGTTCAGGATTCGACAATCCGTGTGTGAGGAATATTGTAGGGGGAAACACGTAATAAGGTAGGTTTTTTTCACGGATTTTCCAAATCTCATTGGCCGAGTAGCGCTTGAAATGAGGTGATGCCATGATGGAAATCGTGACGCGGCAAATAAAGTGTTGCCCTTGTAAATCGTGTTGCAGCTGATGAATCTGCGGTGGGTAGCGCTAGGACAGACAGAAAGACAGCTCGTGTGCGATGGCTATCATACCCTTGAAGCGTCAAATACTTGGGAGAAGGGGAATGGGAGAAGGAAAAGAGGATTTAAACGTACTTAATAACCGGGGAAGATACTTGTTATACGTATGTATATTAGATTATTGTCAGGGGCGATGATTTATACTAACCACATTATCGACCATCATGAGGCATCGTTATCATTACTTATTGGAATCTCTACGCTCAGTAGACACGAAATAGCCAACAGGTACTTATAAATGGTGACGAACATATCAGGTATACGCAGGCACACATTTGAACTATCCAGTTCTCAGATCTATCCTTTAGCTATGCATTTACACATGCTTTATTTAGTATTAGAATGGCTTCAAAGAGCAGTGGAAGAGTGGTGAATATATGCTAATAAAAGTAAAGTGGGGGAAAGAGCTCACATTGTTTGTAATATCGTAGCAACTGACCGTGCCTTAATTGATCTCCCTTTAATGCGTAGATGTGAAAGACGGATTACTGGCATACCAGTTACAATGCAGATGAGATTCCCAATGACGACCACCCCTCTTATGCTTGCTACCTAACGAATAATTATCTGCTCCATTGTCACGAGTGAGTTATTCGTGTTGAAAGGCGGTTATGACCGTCATTCGTATGGAATTTTCTTTCTGAAATAATACAATCCTCGAAAAATTATGATGATGATGATTTTGTTAACGTCCGGAGGACGTAACTACTATCTACCGGTAGTAACTACATAGATAGCATATACAAAGCGCATGACCATGACGCATAGGACGTCTAGAGTACCCTTTTCTACGGAACATGATGGCCATAATCTCGCTTCCCAGTTCATGAATATGGTATACGTATATTAGAATAGATGATAGAATTGATTTAGATACATCACATTCTTCGCTCCGGCGCCTGTTCCAATCGCTTCGGTTGTACTTTTTTTCTTCCCCTTTTTAAACTAATCCCCAGTTCTCCTTTGTTTTCCCTGCTGTCTTCCACTTTGCCCTACTTACTAGTTGAGTTTGAACACAAAGAGACTAACATATATATGCTGGAAGGAATCATTTATTTATCCTTGCAGACTTTAATTGACGGTTAGTGATACCGTAGCTTTATATTTTGCAATATAAAATCAAGTACTCATGTTTTAAGGGCAATGTGTTGTTTAGGGACGGTTTTGAAACATACTCTAAAGAGCACTTTCTCAACAGTCAATGAATATTATAAAGTTTTTGCCTGTTGTTACATCAAGGGACCTTTCGGAGTAGAACGCGGCTCACATAGATGAAACAGCGATAGCATATGTACTCTCAAAGGCGATGCTGGGAGTGCTGGCGCACTTGCGAACACCGTAAATAGTCCCCCTGACACTAGCTTGAAGATTTCTCCATGTATGAGGCTGTTCCATGGAAGTGAATAATTGCCTTGAGAATCTCTACCCACAGTTAAGAAACCGACATTAAGGCGGCGGCAGGTTAATGGAGGGCGGGAATGAAGGTGGATGGCGGCAACTCATTTTCCTGACGTTCCTTATGTTACAAGGTCAATTACACTGGCTACCAATGTCCATGTCCAACCCATAGAGCCAAATCACAGGACGAAGGTTGTCGAAGTTGGTTAAGCTTGGGAATCTTCAAGCAGCCGTCATTAAAGGCTTGCGCTCCTCCTTGTGTCTTGCCGCCATAGTTCCTTCTGGACCAGCAATGTTTTTCGAGTCCGGGGCTTTCAATCGTTGCCTCATACACATCGCTTGCCATGAAAAGCAAAGAGTGGGAGATTTCTCGACCTTCTCTTGGGCAATGAGGATGAGGAGGGGATTCTGTGAAATGTTGTGGAGAACTTGGTTCCCAGGTACAATTTCACACCCGATGAAGTGGCTGAGCGCTAACATTACCCCGCAGGCTTAGGTATTCCTAGCATTTCTTAGCCTGCGTACCATCTTACTAGGTATATATTCTGTTTCTATGAACCAGAATATCAGTCCTCCGTGGCGCAATTGGCTAGCGCGTCTGACTGTTACTCTACTGTGGTAGGAGCAATCAGGAGGTTGACAGTTCAAGCCTGTCCGGGGGAGGTACAACCGCAAATTGCACTCTTCGCAAGTGTGTATTTTTTTTTCAATCCCCGCCTCACACCGGGACAAGCAACAACACCGTCTCGCAAGCAGCTGTTTCCTTTTTATATGAATCCGTTTTCTCCCATTTACCTGCAACTAGTTGTACACAATTTCGCAACTTCGAATACCTACCTAGGTACCTGGCAGCTTAGTTGATTTACTCAATCAACCAATTTTGAAAAAAAAAACAAGCAGAAGACTCATGAGAAGACAATATTGCGGTACTAAAAGAAAAGCCTTTTCTTATTAACGTACGTGTATACCTTCTACTGTCTCAAAATATTATGGTTTCAACCAACTACTCGTAACCATATGTAATTTTGACAAATCTAGAGTTTGCAGGTGTGCTTTGAGGCCCCGGAAAGACGCCTAGAAGTAAAGTCAGGTGCGAAAGGTGCCACATTCCATAATTATTTCGCAGCAAGATGATAAGATCTTTTACCATCCAAAATAATCGTAACAAAACCGTGTCTTGTAGGACCTATTTTTTGTTGAATTCTAAGGAATAACACTTAAAGGTAAGGATACTTTGCAATGGATATTTAAGTTTACCTAGCCACACTGTATTATGTTATGGTGACGAGGAATGAATGAATAGCTATTGCAAAGAAAAAAATAAAGTTAGAGACTTGTAAAACCAAAGTTGTATGCGGAATAGGAGTCACATGTGTTAAGCGTCAACTTCCCATGCTATTCGACCAATATTGGTCCAAATAAATAGGAGAAAAATATAAAAATTCATAAACCTTCACTCATCTCCCCCGGACAGGCTTGAACTGTCAACCTCCTGATTGCTCCTGCCTCGGCGGCATAATAACAGTCAGACGCGCTAGCCAATTGCGCCACGGAGGATGGGTATGAGTGATCTACGCCACTGGGGCTTGCCCTGCGGCCAATGGCGATAGACGATTCCGTCCTAGTCGATGTTCACGGAAGGCTCGTTGGAAAAAATCGCTTCTTGTGGTGGCTTATATAGGAAAGACCGAATAACAACCGCCATTACCCATGCTAACCCCTTTTTAAATATCTGGGTTACCCCTTAGTCATCAGTTCACCAATAGCAGCAATTAATAATCAATGCAGCAATTGTTTCTCGACACAGGATGTGGAATAGTTGATATTCAAGCTATTTACGTCATGGTTTAAAATAAAGGCTGGTCGTAACCTTTCATCCAAAAGAGCCGATTACGCGAGTTTAATCATGAGTAACAATTCAAATAATTCAAGTATTTCGAGGACGGAACCATCAAAGCTATATAAGTCATAAGTAAATAATAAGTAAATAAAGTCCAATAATTAAGCATCGAGAAGCTCGGAATCATGGTAAATGTTGACTGAGGCTGGCGCAGCGTCTTCGTTTTGAGAAATTACTAAAGGCAGCCCCTTATAACTGGGGTTACCCTTGCGGTTGGATAGAGTTGTATTCCCGATCCTGGCTGTGGTTGTTCTCGATCAAAGTTTTTATTCACACGCTTCCTTGACGATGAGAGCTCCTTTTAAATGTAATATCATTGCTACCTAGGTAGGGACTCTTGTTCGCGTGGTTATCATACCTATCACCCTTATCTCTTGCTATATGAAGTCAAAAAATAATTGTATATAAAGGTGTCCGGGAAAGTGCTATCATCGGGCCATTCCCGAACTTATCCGGATATACGTGGGGGTAACTACCCCGATCTAGTCACGCCTTCCACTCCGATCCCGGCCGGACGAGGGCGGAGAATGTAATACACGCGATTATATACAATGATAATTCATCTACTGTCAAGAAAACATCGTAAAAGAATCTGGCGATACAATGGTGATATCGTAACAATTTCATGCTGTCGTAGATCTCGATTTCGGCTAATTCTTCCCCTAACCCCTAACATGGAGCCGTATCAATTAACAGCAACGCAAACTCTTGACAAATTCAAAGATGGCTCATTAAAAGTCGAAGGCTATGCTCGTTCGCTACTGGCACGAATCGAGAAGAGAGACGCTAACGTACATGCTTGGGCACATCTTGACCCTGACTATGTAATCCAACAGGCCAAGGAGTTGGATTCCGTGCCACCAGAAAAACGAGGCCCGTTACATGGCATCGCGATTGCCGTTAAGGATGTTATCTACACTAAAAGTGCCGTTCAAGTTTTTAATCTTTATCTTTGCTATTGTAATCAGAGGGCTAATCTTTCGTAGAAATGCCAACTCAGCATAACTCCCCAATCTATGAAGGAGATGATCCCCAGGTAGATGCTGCATCTATCATAACACTACGCCATGCGGGTGCCTTGATTTTGGGTGAGATATATTCGTAATCTTCTATTATGGCTAATGAATAATTCTTCTATATACTAAATTCAAACAGGCAAGACGACCACAACGGAGTTTGCATCAACCACAATTGGGCCGAAAACGCGGAACCCACACGATACAACGCGCACTCCTGGTGGCTCTTCTTCTGGATCTGCGGCAGCAGTAGGCGATTTTCAAGCACCGATTGGACTAGGTACCCAGACAGGCGGGAGTACCATCCGGCCTGGCTCGTACAACGGTATCTATGCTTTCAAGCCCACATGGAACGCCATTAGTCGCGAAGGCCAAAAGATCTATTCACTCATTCTGGACACCATCGGATTTTTTGCACGTAGTATCGATGACTTTCAACTACTTGCAAACGTCTTCGATATTGAAGATGATACTCTTCCGCCTGCTGACTTCTCGGTTAAGGGGTCTAAATTCGCCCTCATAAAGACGGTGGTATGGCCTCAAGCGGGACCCGGCATGGTTGCGGCATTGGCAGCTGGTGCAAAATTGCTGAGAGAACACGGGGCTGAAGTCGAAGAGATCGAGTTGCCTCCCGAGTTCGACAAGCTGCCAGAATGGCACCGTGTCGTCCTGTTCTCCGACGGGCGACCCACCTTCCTGCCCGAGTACCGTATCGCTAAGGATAAGTTATCTCCTTTCTTAGCCGACCACGTCGAAAATAGCACCAAGATATCGCGGGCCGCCCAGCTTGAGGCATTTGACGGCATAGCTTCCCTAAGACCCAAGATTGATGAGATTGCTAGTAAATACACTGCTATCCTTACACCGAGCGTGGTGGATGAAGCGCCAGTGGGCATGGCTACTGGCAGTCCAGCATTCAATTCCATGTGGACGGTGAGCCACATCTTTAAACACTTTGATGCATATTTCTCATTTATGACTATGTTTAGGCCCTTCATACCCCAGTTACCAATATTCCAGGTTTTAAGGGCGAGAACGGATTGCCAGTTGGCTTGTCTTTGGTTGCGCCGAGATATCATGATAGACGTTTACTTGCAATATCTAAAGCTGTCGGTGAGATTTTTGAAGGCGAAGGTGGATGGAAGCGACAAGTCTACTCATAGATTCTCAATATACTCAGGGTACCTGTTAGTCTATAATCATGTTGACAATCTCAAAAAAAGTCTGTCGTGCTGCCATCATCCACACAAGGAATGAAAGATGGGTTGGGATCCCTATGAATTAGCGGTAGTTAGAACTACTTGCTTATTCAGTTTCGCGTAATGCCTCGGTATTATATTTGTCACGCGTCTTATTGCCAGCTTTGTCGGAAACTGCTATAACCCCAAGCGCATCTTAGCTGCCCAGGTATTTATACCGCTACGAGTAAGGCTTGGCCAGCTGAGAACGATTTCTGATCATGTGCCGAGACAGGATTTGTCGAACACGTCAAAAACATTACCATTAAAATCGGAGAAGTTGAGAAAGGGGTGGATAGGTTTACTAGGCAGTTGATGTTATTATAAGATGCCATTATCAAAGACATGCGTAATGCCATCCATAGTTTACATTAATTCTCCTGTGACTACAAGCTATAGATTAAAGCAAGACTCAGCTGAGAGTTCGGTGTTGGGGTCTGGGGAAAAGGGGGCGTAGGGGCTATAAGCCGACTAGTCTTACAAAACTATGTTTTTGGGTTGTTTTTATTCCCACAATAATGTCATGGTCTCCTTTAGTCTCTAGGCGAAGGATCTCGGTGATAAAAGAATTGACGAGAATTTCTACACATGAGCTAATCAAAGATCTATGGATACCTAGGTGTGAAATCTGCCATCTGGTAGCCGGATCGTGCTTGGTGTAAATAGGGGTGGCGTGACAGTTGACCACAATTGGTTTGTCACCCCCTGTAGTAAACGACAGGACCCCGCAGAGTTGAAAGTTCTGCCTATCATAACTCCTTTTATTCCCTATATCTTTCTATGATAAATGGCATCACTGCTATTACCGGGATCAACTTGGCCGACAGTCCTTTCAGCCGGCAGCCTTGAAGTCTTCAGAACGTACAGTCATGCACCCCAAACACAGGCATCTCCAACCATGCAGGGACTTACACCTAGACTGCGGGGAACCGTGTCGGCTCGACCTTATTAACCAGGCCCATGGCTTCGGCAAGTATTCACATAATAATTGCGAGAGCCGGGGTTCGGGATAATTGAACCAACACAGGTATAACCAGCTGGGTATAACTAAGTGGACGAAGGAATGGGAGTATACAAGGATGGATGACCCGAAAACGTAACCCTCCGTTTCTCCTGTGCCTCTTCCCGTTGCGTAGACATTATAATCATTTCAACTCCTCCAGTAGAGACAATTCGCTTGTCAGAAATAATGTCGCGCCCGTTCCAAAAGGTAAAATTATATGCGACCATATACAATATCCTCTACCCCTTTTGACGATAGTACAGATCTTGGCTGACATGGATAATGCCAGTAGGTTGTTATTGTAGGCGCCGGCCCTTCCGGCCTACTGCTCGCGCTTCTCCTATCTAAGCATGGCATCCCCGTCGAGATCTTGGAAGCGTCGCATGAATTGGACAAACAACCGCGAGCCGCGATCTATGGATCTCCCGCCATTCCAGATCTTCGCCGGGCGGGTGTGATAGACGAGATCCGGCGGCTGGGTATGAGCCCGACATCGGCGTCTTGGCGACGGTTCGAGGACCACAGCTGGATCACTGGCATGGACGCCAAAGTCCTTCAAAATCTCGACGGAGAGGACTTGCGCATGGCATGCATGGTCCTGGATCAGTTGGATGAGTTGATGCTCAAGGAGTTCTTGTCCAAGTATGACGGCAAGATTAGTTGGAAGCATAAGGTCGTAGGTACGGGCCAGGACGAAAAGCAAGCCTGGGTGGATGTTGAGACTCCAGAGGGAAAGAAAAAGATCTATGGCGACTACATTATCGGGTGCGATGGTGCTGGAAGCGCTGTGAGGAAATCGCTTTTTGGAGAAGAGTACCCTGGGTTTACCTGGGAGAGACAAATTGTGGCGACAAACGTACGACTCCAAGCTTTTTCTTATTCTTACCACTAAAAATTTACAGCGGAGGTAGTCGGTGATCGCTAACCCGAAGCCACAGATCTACTACGATTTTACCAAGTTCGGGTTTAAAGACTCTAACTTCATCCTGCATCCTGAGCATTTCTACGTGAGTTTTTGTCACAGACCGAGAAACGAAGGGAGAATATGCATCTCAAAAAGAAAAAAGAAATAACTAACCAACATGGATGAAAATCAGATGGCGGCTAGGCTCACAGATGATGGGCTCTACAGGGTGACATATGGCGAATCTCCCGGTCTGACCTGGGAGCAAATTCGAGAGCGACAACCCTGGAAATTCGAGCTGATGTTGCCGGGCCACCCCAAGCCGGACGAATACAAATTAGTCAACATGTCGCCGTATAAGATGCATCAACGTTGCGCGCCCAAATTCCGCGTAGGTCGGATCCTGCTAGCGGCCGATGCGGCGCATTTATGCAACCCCTGGGGCGGAATGGGAATCACGGGAGGATTTGTCGACGTAGGCGGGTTGTACGACTGC